TAGCACGCCTGACAAGGAAAAGGAAAGTATCGAAAACAAGGAAAAACTTATAAGTCAAGTTGTTGAGACAGAAAATGTGATAACAGACAAGAAATCTATGGAAATAGGACCAGTATAGAAGGTCAACTTTGAAGATCTCAAAGACGAGCCTGTTAATGATGATAGTAAAGACAATAAGATTGAAAAGTCTGATCAAAATGAAAATGAGAATAAAGACAATGTAGTATTCTTCATGACAGAAGATATCAGACGGAAGATAAAGACAAAATTGCAACTGAAAGGAAATCAAAAAGAGTGAAGAAACTGTGGATGAGCTAGCAACAGAAACCTCCGCGCCAGAAAAGGTAGATGACAAAAAGACTGTTGAGAATGAAAGTGCTGAGTCCGAATCTTTAGAGGAAGTTAATGAAACAGAGGATCAAAGGACTATTGAAGATGTGATAAAAGTTGATATTTCTGAAACAGAGAAAAAGACTGAAGATGTTAAGCATGAAGTAGATAAAGAAGAGGAAAACGAGAAACCGATAACGTCAAATGATTATCCTTTCGACGGAAGTAATGACTGAGCATGTGTTATTGAAAAAGAAATATTGCAATTGTTAATAGATAGCTTTCTTAAAATAGATCAATTGTAAAGAAAAGAAACAAAAGGTTCCTTGTGCAAAAAAGCATTTACCTGTGATCTTAGAACTAGTTAAGGGAATCTTGGTACATATAATGTTGAAACAACGACAGTGTGAATCATAATGCAATATAGACTGAGATTGAAGACCTGGATGATTGGTTTTATTCTCTTTTGCGTAATGTACTAGGCATATGAACTGAAATAAATGGGAGCATTTGATCAATCGTTTTTCTAGAGATCTGAGTAAAGTATGTTACTCTTAATGTAATAATTGATGAGGAATTTGTAATCATATACGTACATTTAGTGAGAAACATCACAATGTCTCTAGATTGCCAGTCGTTCTGATGATGTCAATGTAATTCTAAAAACGGTTCTATGCAAAAATTATTTAACAGCGTGATGGATTTTGTACTATTGAAATACATTGTTTACAAATTATTATTGCAAAATTTACACGACTCCGGTTCATTTTATCTCAATAAAGTTTATTGTCAAGGCTATAATCAAATGCGCTCAAAAATGTTCTTAATTTTGAATGATAATGAACGCAATCTATGAACTATAAGTTACAAAGAGTAAAAGGGGCTTACAGAAAATTTCTATGGATCGGTGTGAAACAGACGTAACTCCTTCATTACGTAATGAGGTACAGCTGTTTCGCACTAATCCCACGGTTTGCAACTTTTTACGTTGTTTTATGGCTATTTATTTAAATTTACTGCGTCATCTAAACTTGAATCATGACCCTGCCAAATTTTATGAGCCAAATTAATCTCATATCAGTATCACTTATCAATCCAATTGTTTTTGTAACCGTTTTACATTTAACTACCAGTCCCTTGTCTTGTGTTTGTGAATCTCACAATGATAGATTTTCACGATACACCGGATTAACGTGTCAAATTGTACAAAGTATGTTAGGTAAAAATTAATGTAAATCATATCTAACTAAATCACAATGATGGTAGAAATTTAGTTAATTACACTTAATAGTATTTATATATCTATTTATTAATTATATATGTTTATAAATTTATGCAAGTGTGTACGTGCAAATATTTTGTAAGGCCTCGTTGGTGGGTATGACCATTCTTGCAAAACTAATTATGACTGTGATATCGACTCTAAGATGCAGTTTAGGTTGCAAATTTAACTAAAACATACCATAATTGTATTCACTCTTTCAAAATGTGTCAAGGATGCATTACTTCCCTTTCGCGCAATGTGCATGTCAGAAATGTTTTACTACTAGTCACTATAAGATCAATATGTTAAACAAAGAAGTGAACTACCTTAGTGACAAATTTATATAAAATCTAATACAGTGAAACTTTTACACCGCAACACCCTTCATGAGCTGTTCCTGAGACGTGTTGTTCGAAAAAAATTAAAATTGAAATTGAGGACTTTTTTTTTCAAAAAGTGTGTTACTTTTACTGTTGAGGTAAATGTTCTACAGAGGACCACTCTGCAGAGATTTCACTGTATAATAAATCTTGTATAATAGCAAGACACTCTATACAAGTCATTTAAGAAAATATCACATTTATTTGTTGCATTCGTTTTTCATTCACGATTTAATATTATTTGCAGACTCATTATATTTTTTCTAAACAATACAATTGCAAAGAAGTAAAATCATATTGCAAGCCATTTGTGTTACAGTTTTCTTTTCAAACCCCAAGAATTACGTATCTTTATGTGATAAGCACCTAATATGCTCTAAAACCTTTGTGTTAACGTTATAACGCAATGTGTGCCCCTTTCTTAAGAATTATAAAATTATTCATTTCTGAAGCATAATGTGCCTTTCAGCCCATAAAATTGTATTTTTTTCAAATGCATTTTTTTTTATTTTTAATGTACATTTAAAGTTACCGAATTTGCCCATATAGTTGAATCATCTTTGCTTCTAATGTGTGTTTTAACCATAAGTAAACTTACAGTGGTTAAGTATTTTGTCTGGAATACAAAATACCACTTATATCTTGTTACCTACTTACATTTTGCTGATTTTATGACAACTTGTTTCACATTCAACATGGTTTTCATCATATGAAATTCATCAAACATCTAAGATTCTCTAAATTCTCTACATTCAATGAGATAAAAATAGGTTTACCATCTCTACTATTATACAGATGCTTAATGTGTCATTATTAATTAGGTACATAATACATCAGAAATTATTTTTTCCCCTTCTTAAGAAAGGGAAAACACATGTTTTAAAACTGTTAAATAATGGTTTAAGAGCAGGTTGGCTTATCCGCTGAAAGAAATAGCACTTAACGTAAAATTATTGGTCATGGAATTGGCAAAATGTAAACAAAGTAGTATTTTTACTCCCATACAAAATACAAAATCACTGTAACTGTACTATCTGCCAAAAGGTAACATGGACAAAAGATGGTTCAGGTTATTGACCAGTTAGTAACCTTTTACAGGGTATCAAAAAAGAAAACGCTTTTCAGAAATAAAAATTCGTGCATTTCTGGGGCATTGTGGGCGTTTTACCCAATTTTAAACTGTCTCCGCAAGACATTCTCTATGAAAATCGTACATTGGTACTTGGTAGTTTAAAAAAACAACGATTAAGTGATTTCTTTATGATATATACAACGGAAATACTTCTCTGTTATTGGTTAATTCGTAGCAACCGTCGTCTAACATTTATAACACATTTATCACAAAGTAGGCTCTTACAAAAATAACAAATTTGTACGATCAAGTTATTATTAAGATTTAATGTGATTAGCTGTATCAAATAGGTAAAACAACTACTTAATGTGTTCAAAAAATCAAACAATGCAATAAAACGAAATAAACTACTAATGTACAATACTAGTCAATGATTATATAAAACAAGAGGGCCATGATGGCCCTAGATCGCTCACCTGACTTATCAAACTCATCCAAACAATTACCTAGACAAGCATTCTGACCAAGTCTCATGACAGGTGAGTCAAAAATGTGACCACTACAGTGTTAACAAGGATTATCCATATTTGAGCAGTGCCACCTAGTTTTTTACCCAGGTGACACATATTCAAACTTGACCTAGAAATCATCAAAACAAACTTTCAGACCAATTTCCAGGATACTTGGATCAAAACAGTAGCAACTAGAGTGTTAACAAGATTTTTCTATTTTTAGCTCCGGTGACCTAGTTTCACATGCGATTTCGAACTCATCCAAGCAATTACCTAGACAAGCATCCTGACCAAGTTTGATGATAATTGAGTCGAAATTGTGACCACTAGAATGTTAACAAGGTTTTTCCATATTTGGGCGGTGTGACCTAGTTTTTCATCCAAGATGACCCATGTTCGAACTTGACTTAGAAATCATCAAAACAAACTTTCAGACCAATTAACAGAATATTTGGATCACAACAGTAGCCACTAGAGTGTTAACAAGATTTTTCTATTTTTAGCTCCTGGGACCTAGTTTTTCATCCGAGATGACCCATGTTCGACTTATTCCCAGCAATGACCTAGACAAGTTTCCTGACCAAGTTTGATGACAATTGAGTCAAAATTGTAACCACTAGAGTGTTAACAAGGTTTTTCTATTTTTAGCTCCTGTGACCTAGTTTTTCATCCGAGATGACCCATGTTCGAACTCATCCGAGCTATCACCTAGACAAGCACTTTGATAAAGTTTGATGATGATTGATGCAAAAATGTGACCGCTAGAGTGTTAACAAGGTTTTTCTATTTTTAGCTCCGGTGGTGACCTACTTTTTCATCCGAGATGACCCATGTTCGAACTCATCCGAGCTATCACCTAGACAAGCATTCTGACCAAGTTTGATGATGATTGATGCATAAATGTGACCGCTAGAGTGTTAACAAGGTTTTTCTATTTTTAGCTCCATTGACCTACTTTTTCATCCGAGATGACCCATGTTCAAACTCATGCGAGCTATCACCTAGACAAGCATTTTGACCAAGTTTGATGATGATTGATGCAAAAATGTGACCGCTAGAGTGTTAACAAGGTTTTTCTATTTTTAGCTCCGGTGACCTATTTATTCATCCGAGATGACCCATGTTCGAACTCATGCGAGCTATCACCTAGACAAGCATTTTGACCAAGTTTGATGATGATTGATGCAAAATGTGACCGCTAGAGTGTTAACAAGGTTTTTCTATTTTTAGCTCCGGTGACCTATTTTTTTCATCCGAGATGACCCATGTTCGAACTCATCCGAGCTATCAACTAGATAAGCATCCTGACCAAGTTTGATGATGATTGATGCAAAAATGTGACCACTAGAGTGTTAACAAGGTTTTTCTATTTTAAGCTCCGGTGACCTACTTTTTCATCCGAGATGACCCATGTTCGAACTCATCCGAGCTATCACCTAGACAAGCATTCTGACCAAGTTTGATGATGATTGATGCAAAAATGTGACCGCTAGAGTGTTAACAAGGTTTTTCTATTTTTAGCTCTTGTGTCCTAGTTTCTCATCCGAGATGACCCATGTTCTAACTCATCCAAGCTATCAACTAGATAAGCATCCTGACCAAGTTTGATGATGATTGAGGCAAAAATGCGACCGTTAGAGTGTTAACAACTAAATGTGAACGGACGACGGAAGGACGACGGACAATCATCGATCCTAAAAGCTCACCCTGAGCATGCTAAGGTGAGCTTAAAATGGAAAATGGGAATTGACTAAAATGTTAGTTTTTTTCTTATTAAATAAACGTATAGATAGAACAATTTAGTAAATAAAAAGGAGTACTTTTTATAATTTACACAAAACTATACACAAAATGCAGCGTTATCTCAAAAACGTTGATAGAAATATACAGTGAAATATAGAAATATATAGACAAATTCAGTAATATTGAAACCATTCTTTTGCACATGAAATATCTTGAAACAATTTTCATAGAATGGTTTGACGTTGCTTGTGAGCAACAACTTTCAATATCTAGAAAAGCACATTAAAACATACACTATAAAGTTCTTTTCTAAATTTCAATTCTCCCACTTAGCAGACGACTTCCTACCAATTATCTGACGTCATTTCCTTTGAAGAATTGGGAAAGACCTCGTCATTTGAGAAATATTCTGCCGCAGACGGTCTTCTTGCCTTATTCGTTCCCAAAGGATGTTCAACGACCGCAACGTTACTGTTTTTACGGTACAAGAAAGTCATCTTAGATGGTCCAAGCGATGTGTCCACTAAGGGAAATATTGTCCTGTTTAAATGAAATAATGATTGAAATATAAATGTTTTTCACTCAAAGCAAATTTAATACGTGTAGTAAGTGATCACCCGTCTTCATGTTATTTTTCCAGAAATGGCTTTGATGTAGATATGTTTCAACCCGAAAGCTAATTTATGGGAGTCATGAAATATGAATTATTCTGTAGAGTTTATTGTTTATATCCAAATGAAAATCATTTCAAAATAAAAGTCTTACACAACTCATTCTTCTCAAACCAAAATTAATCATTTACTTGACATTCAAACTGCTTTACTAACATCGCTGATTAAAAATTAAAGGTATATTCAAAGGATATTTAACTGAACCCAATATCAATGGGTTATAAATAATTAGGTGCACGAGTAACCAGCTTCAGAAATTGAACATGATTGATAAAGGTTTGCTCAAGTCGAAGCGTATTATGTATTGTACAGAATAACATTTTTATTTTGAATCCAAATTTTATTGAGGGGACACAACATACAGCTATGGTTTCGGAAGATTATTTTAACCATTTTAATCCTTCCCCGCCAAAAACTGAAAAAGACTTACTAATATTTCAATCTTGACAAAATCATTCACCAATTTTAAGGAAAATTCAAAATACATATACGGACGGAATAGTAAAAAGTGCAGATCATAATCAGAATGAACAATGGTATTATAGCAAATATTTGTCGTTAACGGTTTTTATTTTCGGCGGACTGTCATATACACTCAACTGTCCTATATACCATATATTGGGTTCGATCCTTTCCAACACAGGAAATATTTAACACAATACGTGACACAATAAAAACAGCGATATTAATCATGACACATAGTATAAAATATATCAAAACGCGCCAATAATCAGTCAGAGAAAAGTGTTCAGAAGAAGAGTTTAAAAAAAGATTTATACCTGGCCGCTTTTGCCTTCAGGTGGAGTTTAATTAAAACAACAAGAGCAACGGCTGCGGCTAGCAGTATAACGCCGCCAACACTGCTTAAGACAATGATCAAATAATTCTCGTTTGCATCATCGTCGTTGTCGCATACTGTGTAACAAAATAAATCATTGAAAATGTTAATCACGTGTTTAATGTAAGTCACACGGACAATTTCATAGGTCACAAAGCAACTTTCCATGGCCGTGCATTATTTCAGACATGAGTGGGCACCTGATAAGAACCAAAACCAAATATATAGATAGTTTCCTCACATGAAAGAATTCAATGCCCCTGGCGTGACTCAAACCAAAGTTTGAAGGGACAAGTGGTTTTAAGGCAATTGCTTTATATTACATGTTCAAATATTTCCAAACTAATAAATGTATTATTCTAGCACAAGTTTAGTTTAACTTAGCTCTTTTGTATATGATGCGAGTAATAAGACTCGGCCAATTGTTCGTCGCTCTTATGGACTATAAAACCTTTAGAAAACACAGTTGTGACTGCACCTTTATCTAAACAAGGCACTTTCATTTAAAACTATAATAATAATTTATAGATGAATTGCTTGCGAAGTATTTGGAAAATATATCAAATTCAAAACTTACCGTCCGTCCAAACAAATAAATTCTGTGAAGTGTCACACTTGGCACACGAACTTCCATTTAGGTAAGTACCTGCAGTATAGCACGTGGCTACTATGAAACAGTATCCTGACTGTAAAATAAACAAAATTAGCTTCACCATATGGGACTTTAACTTCTTTCAGAGAATGCAAGTAATATTTGCGATTGATAAGTAACTCTTTCAATATACAATTAAAACCCTAGTTATAAATCACCCCTGGGTTAAGACCAATCCGCTAATGAGATCAATTTTTAAAGAACAAAATGTTCGGTTCTGTATTTCAATTGTCACATGATTCACACAAAGACCATCTCGAAATTATTCCCTTTTTTCCAGCCCCAGTTCGTTTTTCGATACACTTATAAGACCAGCGATATTCAATATATTAACCTCACAATATTAATTAGTGTGACCTCTCTGTAAGACCTTTTTGACTAAAATTCATCGATGGTCTTAATAAATGGTTTTTACTGCAAATAAGAGATCAAAATAAAAATTGTTAATCTGACAGAAATTAGTCTGGTCAAAATGCACGCTTGTGAACTTCAGACGGATTAAACTTGGTGACACTGTACTACTGTTATTTAGGTATAAATGATATTTGTATATTCTATAAACAAGTAATCGAGAGCTATATATAGTTTTTATTATTTACGAAACGTATAATGACGTCATTGATTCATGTGAAACTTACCTTCAAAGTAACAATTGTTTCATTATTAGGGTTTGTTTGGCGCTCCTGGCACGTGGTATCAAGCACGACAACCGTTTGCTGGGGACCAAAGTTGGTACCATCGTTACTAACCGATATTCCAAGCATCCGGGAAATTAGCGTAGTGTTAGTATTATCGGATGAATTCGTAATTTCGGGCACCAGGGCATATAGCTCGTTGTAGTTGATGTACGCGCAATTAATTTCAAACTCCTCAGTCATGTTGAAATTACCATCAATTCCAGCCTAGTTTATTAAAACATGATTAATATTTACATAGCGTAACCGGAATCTATCGGAAATTAACCATTTCGTTGAATATAGTATATGCAGTCAAGAGGAACTTACATAATTATACAAAATCAATTTTACATTAAATTAGCAATAGAAGAAGTAATAAAGTAATGACAGTCGTTTGATGTTAAAAACTGGAATATTTCTCATGATTATCTCCTAATTATTATAAGAATAGAATTAATAGAAACATACCACATAGACTGCCAATTTACATTTTGCAGTATCAACAAAGCCATTCCCAACTATTAAAATAAAGTCACATTCATTTCCGGTACTGACGTCACAAATTCCTTCGTCTGCAAGTTCTTCAATCAATGGACCGAGTGTTAGATTCAAAAGACAAAGATCTGTTCCAAAGTCTTGGAAGCAAACACATGTTTCTAGAAAATAAAACTTAAATGTCACGAAACATTCATGTATAACAAGACTTTCATTTCTATTGCGCTTGAAGATAGAAAGGTGATATCAGAGGGCCATTTGCCAATTATCATTCATTCTAATACGTTATGTGAGTCATAACATCAACACCTAGTGTTTTGTTCAAACACTATTTATATACATTTTCAAACCACTTGCCATTTACCGCTGTGGATTCGAATCCCGACAGGGATTCTTTTCATGTGAGGGAGCTATCCAGGTAGCTTACGGGACGACTGGTTCTATTCAGATGTCCGTTCGAGCTTGAAATAATACAGGGAAGTGCGCCTGGGATCTTCCTACACCAGTAAAGCTGGTACGTTGCCACATAACCTATACTGTGTCGGTGTGACGTACAACCCAATCAAACAAACAAATATAATTATGTACATTTTAAAAGTCAATTATTGTTAGAAAATTGAAGTAAGAAATAAAACAATTGAAACTTAACATTACATTCAAAACAATATGTTAACATTTTATCTGGACATATTATAAAAAAAATTAAATGATAATAATGGAGGAAAATGCGGTTCAAAAATACGAGTATTTTCGAATTTTAAACTGACTTTTACAATAGTTTAAATCATGTAGACCCTAATTTAAGATACATACGGTTAACACACTGTCCGTGTCCGCTACAATTACTTGGACATGCGTTTTCTTTGATATTATTAACTAACTCAGTATTATTCTCAGCAAATTCAACATCTTTTTCAATTTCTACTGTAACTTTCTGAGTTATAGCATCACAATGAGGAGTGACCCATTCTGTGGTCCCACTTATCTAAAAGGTAAATTTACACAATGTCCCCAGTCAGTCACTTGAGGTTTTTAATGGAATATAAAGTATTTTGTAATATTCAGAAGAAAAAAGTGTTAAATTCTGTGTCAACAAGAACAGTCCAATAATTATATATGATGAAAGCTTCACTTTACAGACAAGGATTAAAATATATATATGTATATGTATTATATAAGCAGAATTGATTTTATGAAAATATTGTAAAAAGAACGTGACTCTAAACTATTTTCTATGTTTATTGTTTTCCAAATTTTCTATTTACCGCCGTATCACGTGCACAGTTTTCGAGAGTATCATTTGATTCCGCAACATCGCTGACGTCATCTTTCTTGGAGTACGTGTTACAATTATTGTTTAATTGTTCTTCACACATCTGTTCTGCTTCCTCGATCGGTATTGTAGTCCTGTTGTTAACCTCCCGTTTCTACAAAGAAACAATTGTACTTTAAGGAATAAAGATCATTATGGAACAGATTCGCTTTTATTTATTCTGTATGAGACGGATCAACCCAGCTTGCATGCTTTAATTGGTCTGTATCGTATAGTTTTTATCGTTACACTACTTTTTCGTTTTTTTACTTGAATTTTAAAACGTTTTTGTTGTAAATGATTACCTTCCGTAATGAAACATGTTGTTCTCTTAATATTTCCCATTTGCTTCTCATCCTTTGCAATCGTTTTTTAAAGTCTGTTTCAAAACTGGTATGTTTTTGGGTATGTTCAACGTCTCGTCTGCTCCTTGTTTGAGCTGAAACGCGGGTACCCCAATGCCAAACATATCCCGTACATAATGCTTCTTCGTCTGCGGAGCACATGGCGTCATAACTACTTCCGGAACTTGCGTATGGACAAACGCATAATTTCTTATTACTGTCCCAGCTCACAGACGCTTGGGGTTTGGAGCTCAAAACGCCTTTAAAATCCAAATAAAATGCATATTTGTCAATCCCAGGACATGTACTGATCATATATATCAAAAAATCTTAATATATGCCGTTTTGAAAAAAAATTATATTTCAACATCTATAATAATACACAAGATAAAAATGTTCGCCGGAAAAAATCCGCACCCCTACCGTCATAATCACCATGTATTTTAATCCATTTCCAATATTTTCACATAATCCTTTGGTCCATCGACACAGAAGATATAATTCTTCACGATGATGGTCAATTTTAAACTTCAACGGTAATATAAACAACGCAACAGCCGAAATAAACATCAATATTCTCGCCGTTTTTTTCCAACGACAAAAACTTTTCGATAAATTCAATGGACCAGACGGCTATGAACGAAGCTATCCGATAATGTGGTTCCCAAACTTTAAAAGCGCTGCGCATTTTGCACACGGCAAAGCTGGGGCCACAAAATCGGATAGCTTCGTTCATAGCCGTCTGGTCCATTGAATTTATCGAAAGTTTTTGTCGTTGAAAAAAAAACGGCGATAATCTTGATGTTTATTTCGGCTGTTAAGTAGTTTATATTACCGTTGAAGTTTAAAATTGACCATCATCGTGAAAAATTATATGGACCAAAGGAGTTGACGATATGTGTGCGGATTTTTTTCCGGCGAACATTTTTAACTTGTGTATTATTATAGACGTTAAAATATGCATTTTTTTCAAAACGGCATATATTAAGATTTTTTGATATATATGATCAGTACATGTCCTGGGATTGACAAATATGCATTTTATTTGGATTTTAAAGGCGTTTTGAGCTCCAAACCCCAAGCGTCTGTGTCCCAGCTTTCCACGTTTTCGTAAACATCAGGATTTAGAAGGCTTTCATCTTGCCTCCCAGTCAAAAGAAGCCTATTAAATAATAAATATCAAGCTTACATAATTAAAACGTGCATTTTACGTAATGAAAAGAATAATACATTTCTGACTTTTTGTTTAAGCCAAAAGATATACATGTATTTTAATAAAACACGCTTTACAATATATAAAACTAAACTAAAACTCTAAACTGGTGTTTTACTTGAAGATGAAGGTAAAACTTAGCAGAATATATACCGGTCGTTTGATAACAGGTTAACCTTTCAAACGAGTTGTCCTTACAGAACCTTATAACACACCTCAATGACAAATGAAAAAAACAACACCGGTACATTATTCGTATTTTTGAATAAGACATATATAAGGATGGTTGAGATTAATTTCTTTACCGACAAATGGTTTAATTTGCTCAGAGACAACATGTACCGATTTATATTTGACTCTTTCAAAAATGATAACCGTTTTAAGTGTTAAACTTTCGACACACTAAACCGGCCGTTTTTGTTACGCTACAGGGTTTTTTTCTGGTACGAAAAAGGTAAGAAAACCAAATGAAGGCAACAAAAAATATTTTCAATAAATTTACCCCCAAGAATAGGCAAACTGATGAGGGAAGAAGTAATCACTCCACCACCACCACCACCAATAGCCATATCTTGACTCGACCGGGTCAGACTGGGTTGTCGCGGAAGTATAGTATCGGTCCCTAAAAATCACCGTTGGGAAATTCCCACATAAGCCCTTCCGGGTCTGCCTTCAAAGTCCGACGGCCGTTTCGGTACGACATAAACATTCAATTCAATTATAGTTAAAATGAGACATCACATATAACAATCACGTTCATCCCCGTCGGAAGAATTATCTAACAAAGTAAAGAAGCACATGAAAAATAAAATGACAAGTAACGCAATCTGACATAATGCATAATGCATCACAGTGAAAAAAATGCCCTATTTAGGCCCCAAACACTGTGTTTCGTTTGAGACACGTTGTAAAAAAATGACCACTTTTTCGGCGCCGACCCCCGTCCAAATGTTACATCAGGATGTTGCCAGTAGGGGGACTTGCCCCCTTCTGTTTTGGGGGGGGATTGAAGGGGGCGATAATCCCCCTCATCGCCATGAAACTTTTGGACATGTGACATGCTTAAAATGGCCTCAAGTCGATCTTAGGATAGCTAGTAGCCGACGATGAAAAGCTTTCTCAATTCATTGAGAAGTTGCAGCACTTTGAAATCAGTTTTGGTGGAAAAAACTATGCAAACTAGTGATTTTTGGCAATTTTGAGACGTCCCCCGTTGCCATGGTCACAGGAAATTTACGATTGAGCATGCTGTTACAGAGGCTATGGTCCGGTCAACATTTGTGCAAAATGTTTCATCAGTATTTAAGCATTGTTCATAGTTTCATAGCAGTTTGAAACTTGTTACAGGGGCTTTTCAATAAAAACAGCCATTTTTCGCAATACGCTCTTTGGGTAAAAGGTAAACTTGAATGTATCCTCTGCCAATAAAACGTCGTGTAAGAAAATTCAATGGTTCAAGTATATGAATGATCAAAGCTGAAGGGCAGAATCGTTAATTATATACCTTCATTGCAAATTTGTCTCCCAGGAAGATGCGTATTCATGAATGCTTACTTATTCACTTAAAACCAAAATAAAAGATTGTCTTTAAAGTATTACCCTGTAATAAGTGCTCCATAATCTATAAACCTTCAGAATGCCATCATTTGCCGAAAGGAAAGTTGATAGGTGACCGGAGCAGTGGTTGATTGTAAACACGTCTCCACCAGCACGCACTGTCACTGCACAAGTGCATGTCGCCCAGCGATTGCAACCAGTGGTTACTGTTTGAACCTTGACAATATATAGAAAAATAGTTAATTATTTAAGTTTTAACAATGGCAACGAATAGTTATTGTTTGAACCTAGAGAATATGTTAAGACAGTTGCTGAAGGCTAAAATCATTCAAGCTGTGTGCAAATAATGTATGTCAAATTGAAATTGTTTAGTTTTTACATTTCCTACGGAGAAATAGAAATAATACTGGTTCTCTATCAGAGGTCACAGACTGGACTTATCCTTATGAAAACACACTGTATACTTTGGGAAAGTCGTATCGTTGGAGCATATGACAACTTTGAGATTCAGAAGTTGAATATTTGGAAGTGATTACTATGTTATTGTCAAGTAAACAAATAACTAACCTCGATTGGAAGCGTTTTATGCCGAAACAGAACAAACTCTTCAAGAAGTTGTTTTGAGTACCACCTGCGGTATTGAACAAGTATGTTGGATTAAATAAAGTCTATAAGTGGCGGCATGGCCGAGTGGTTAACGCGTCGGACTAGTAATCTAATGATCGCTAGCCGTATGGGTTCAAACCCCGTCAGAGGCAAGTCGTTGTTTCCTTGAGCAAGAAAATTTACACTCATTGCTCAGTACTGGTTGGTTCCAGGAACGGATTCGAGAGTGTGTCTTTCCTACACAATCGAACTTAAATAAATTCTGTATATATAAACCAAATAAAGTCTATACTTGCAGTAACAATAATTGAACACTTAAATATCAGATGTTCAAATTATTATCTCCGTTTAATCTACATTTTCGATAAGCAGAAATATTCTGTACGTTTGTCTGTTTGTTCTACGATACATTAGACGTGTTGAGTGTTTTGTAAAAACTCTGTTAAGGTTATTTATAGTGAACTCGGGTGCGCATCCGTGCATCATTCCAGATGAGAACGGGTACCTGAGTAGAACCGCCGACGTTTCTTAAGCTAGCAAGAACTATTCCTCACATGAAAGAATCAAAGGTCAATGACGGGATTTGAGGTCATATACAGCAGTGACAGGAAAGTGGTTTGTTGTCGATGACCTAAACTCCTCGGCTACAGACGCCCTTTAGTTTTATGTGAAATTATTAACGACTGTATTTTCAACAAGCCAGAAGGGTGTTAAATTTGTGGTACGGAAAGAGATCCTTTCATAAGAGACGGAGCGTTTCAGCCCCGTAATTATGATGTAATGCATTAACGAACACTACCTCCTATCAAATGTGTAGATGTACGGATCATTGAATGAGTAACAAGCTCGGTATTTGGTGCGGTAATTTTCTGTCACTGTAACCTAAGCATGTAAAAAATGCAATAATGATTAATATACCTCTTTTTTTTAAATTTATTGCTTTAATTCCATCCCTAACATAAAATACTTTCTTGAGGTCTTTTGAAGTATGGCGTACGATTTTGTTCTACATATATATATTGAATGCAATAAATAGTTTTTTGTCTTATATTGATTGTTTATATTTTCATATAATGAAAAACTGTAAGAAACTTATATAAATATTTGCAACGAGAGTGACTAATGGATGAACTTTCAAGCCATTTTTAAATACAGTTATGAAAAGAAAAGGACAAATTGCTTTAATTACAAGAATAAGTATATAAAATTCATTAAAAAAATTCTATATTTTATCTTACTGAGACACTAGTTGATGGTGAATTCCATAAAGCCTTTGAATTTCCAACAGCAACTAGCTTTAAAACGAGAAAGAATCTCCAACGAAGTCGGTACCAGCGATTATTTTTGGTTGTTATTGTTATATTTGTGAATGTATTCGCTGTTGACACATGGCTTAGTGTTGCTGGAGTGGCGCCATCTACTTTCCCGCCACAAGTGTCGCTGTGTATAACCGCTATAGATGAGTCATAGCAGTGATAGGAATCGTTTGGATCGTAGACAATGAATCTAAGAGCACATTCTGGCGTGTCAGTGGAACAGCCAAAGGGGAAATTGAGGTAAACAGTGAACGTAGCTTCCTTCCCTCTCATCATTGTTATACTATTTGTTGAAACCTAACATTGAAAACAATGTAACATTGAAACAATTTCTAATATTTGAAGAAAATATGTTGAAGAAAATACATAAATGTTTATCTAGTTCGAAATGTATGGTGATATTATTTTGCATTGAGTCTAGTGCTTCACTGACCTAATTGTGGCAATTCCCAAATTAAACTAATGGCAAATAGCCTATTGCAAAATATTATTGTATGGCCATGGATCCTCCTTAAGACAATCAAAAAGTATCTCTAAAGAAGATTTAACGTATATTGTACTTGTATGGGTCATAAAGTAAGCGGTTACATGTATATTAGAGTCATCGATACAGAAACAAATTACTTGAATTAGAGCTTTGGTTGGTAAATTTGATATAAATTAAATGATAAGAAATAAATTACTTGTAAGGGTGCCAGCTCTATACTTGTGTTATTTTCATATTCCATTTCACCAGCACCATCATAAACTGCTGCTGAACACTTTACCTTTAGACAAAAAAGAATGAATTCTTCCGAATAATTATAATAGATGAATAATTGATAGCAAAAGAAACTTGGTATGTTACGAAATTCTAACATTTGCAATATCATTCTTAAACTAAGAAAATGATGGTAAATGGTATTAAGTGCTAACTTATTTTATCGAAATAAAAAGTTTATAGAACTAAATTATTGATTGGTATTTATTCTTAACCTTTTACTTAATACATTTAATTTAGCTTTTCATCAATAAGCAATAGCAATAAGTACTAAGAATTGACAGTACATGGTTACATATAATGCTGCATTTTCATGTCCACAAAAACAGTTGTGAAAACTGTATTTAAAATAGTTTTTTCTTTGTTTTGTTTAAGGAAATTTCTTTCATTAGATTTTCTTTATTATTTGAATATGCAGCTTGTAATAATTACCTGTAAGTTAAAAAATTCTGAAAATGGAATATAACCCGCGACTGCGTTACTAAACATGTCATCTGTCAGCATAGATGATGACACCTCTGTCGACGTTATCATCCCGGTGTCATAAAACTCCAGTCCGTTCACATACCTACAAAAATGTACCTTCTTATATCATAATTGGTCTTTCTTGCTCACCTTTTTTATGTATACAGTAAGTAACAAAGCCATAAAGAGTAATGAAAACGTCAATAAATACTTCTTTCATCGAATGATGTAAAGGACATTAAATT